CTCCAACAGTCTCTGACTCCCTCTGACATGCAGTGAATGATTCCTCACTAACTCGGCGATTTGAACTTGGTTATAATGTTACGATCTTTCATTTCAGCATGGCGCCGGAGGAAGCCTTAAAAAAACAACTTGCTGCATGGAAGACGGTTCTATACAAAGCCGTTAAATCGATTGCCGAGACGACCCTTCGTTGATGCAGCATTTCATCCACGTCAACTCCGTATTGACTATTCCCATCTACACAACGAATGGAAAATCCCTAACTCCGAAATGGTAAACAATAAGCCAAAAAAGAGCAGCATACATTTAAATTTCGTACGCAGCTCGGAACAGAAACAATCCCTGAGAAAAAATCTCCCCGTTGCACTCCTCTGTATCAGCTTCCAGATTCCTTCCAGAGTCATCAAGCTGTCGATATGGCATCAACATTTCCTTTCTCACATTTCCTCAACCGCAGGATTACCATCCACTCGTTCCGGCACTCGAATCATTTTTCGGAGCTCTTTACCCCACCCGCTGCCCCCATCGCGCATACCCGGGAGCCACGCGTGCGCTATTTTGAACCGCCATCATCATTTTACATTGAGAAAGAGAAGAAACAGGAGGAAATCAAAAACAAAAACAAAAAATAAAATAAAATAAAAGAAGGAAAAAAAACAAAATGACCAATTCCTTGGCTCTGTGTCCAGACCATGATGGAAGCCGACATGTGCAGCGCCGCCTACTCCAGTGCGGGGTCCACGAAGGGGCCTCGAAGGGCTCCGAAGGTAGAGACAAAGGGCATTCCGCTCGGATCTTTCCCCCACTGAAAGTAGAATCGCCTTATCAACTTGCGAATGTCAAGGTGGAATGAACCCAATGGCTCCCATCCCACAATCACTCCAAAACACACACTTACACTAAAACACAAATACAATCACACACTCACAATTAAACCACAGGACATTTGTCACGATTCAGTGCAAACTTAGTCTCCATCCGAGCTCCACATCGCAGTCATATCAGCAGTAGTAATTTATCTCTTCATCGCCACCGTCTCGAATTCTCGGTGTCGAAATTCTCTCGCGGTTTCGGCGTCGGCGGTGATGCTGTTGCAGAGCACGACCAGGTCGACGTGGCTTGAGATTCGAATATAATCCAGCTGGCAGCTCAGACCCCCCACGTGGACCACACCGTCGCCACGTCAAACCCGACTCGATCAACTCGCGGGGGTTTGATTCCTTCCTCCGGCTGTGTGTGTGAAAAGGGGCCGTCGATGGCTTTGCATTGGATTCAGGAAGCATCGAATATTGGGTTTCGTATGGGGATGGACTTGCAACGAAAGGTTGACTGGTTCTATAAGCTCATCCCCCCTCCCTTTTCTATTTTATACTTTTATTTTAATTTTATTACTTTTAATACTTTTTTTGGGTTTAATTTGGTTTAGTTTTTGGGATTGGACCTCTTGACTTGCCACAAGGATGACTCAGCCCTATCCACAAAGTGGGTTGTGCTTGTTTGCATTGCAAAAGCATCTCACATAAAGATTCTTTGGCATGCTCCATAGCTAAAACACTAATGGTTACACACATAGGCCAATGTAGAATGTGTAGAATGTATAGATAAAACTTTGTTTATCATTTTTGTGTGCTCTTTATAATAACCTTTGTGAAGCAAGTTTGTGGACATAATAGTAGGAATATGAATCACCACTTCTTGGTACTAACTTGTGACTCTTGGGTAGTGTGAAGTTATTAAGAAATGTTTATAGAAATAGAATAAACTCAATGCCGTTGAAAACTTCAACTTAAGAGAATTTGAACTTTGAAAGCTCGTTGTCATGTTTGTGAACTTGGGTTTATCATTGTTCTATCAAATTAGCATCTTTACTTCCAAATGATAATTAAGGTTCATAGTGTGTTACCAAAGTAGCATTTTATTATTGTTATGGTACATGTATGATGGATGGTAGAGATTATATCTAAGAACATGATTTTAATCTTTTTCCTTGTCTTAATATCATCTACCAACATAAAATCTCTTTGCCTATGGAATTGTAATTGAAATTTCACTCTCATCAATTATAATCAATTCTTTTTCCAATGTAATTTTTTAAATTTTCTAACTTACAAAATACTGCTTGTATATGAACTAAGTACTTTATTAGGTCATTCCAATGTGTAAGGTTCATGCTCATTGGATTTTTATTTATTTACTTATTTATTTTTCTTTCCATTCTAAAATTAATAAATATTTCATATGTAAATCATTGCAAGTTCCATTTCAAGACACAATTTCCTCTATATTGTCATATTATTATTATTATTATTATTTGCACAATAATATATGAGTTTCAATGAGGCATGGTCATATTCAAACTTTTGTTTAAATAATGCAACGATCGATTAAACATCAATGAAAATGACAGTATTTTTTTTATATGGACGAAAGATGCCAATTAACTGAACACCAGAAATTTACTTCACAATTAGTCTACTTCTAATGATGAAAAAGATAGAAAGGAAAAGATAAGCAAGATAATCAATGAATGTATGTAAGTCTGTGTATGACTCCGACTTCTTCTTTTGCAATATTTTGGCTTTAGTTCATGTTTTATTGATGTTTTAATGAAATATCTAAAAATACTAAAGGTGGATTCAAAACTATTATCTTTGTGGCAACAAACTTATTGTCTTTATATTTACACATATACATATACATAAAAGACTTGGTGTGTTTAATATCAAAGACGAAATTCATCATTATTTTTTAAAAAATGTATCAAAATGTATGTAAGTTTACTAGAGTATAACTTTCATCCATTAAAAATAAATAAATAAATAAATAAATAAATATAGGAAAGTGTAATATTTTTTGTTTTCCATTTTTTAATATTTATTATTATTATTATTTCATCAAGTTGAATGATTACCATGGTGGTTAAAAATTGAAGTATTTATTTTATTTTATTTTTATTATTTTGGTAGATACTTGATAGTCTGAAAAAGAAAAAGAAACTACACTGCTTTTAAATACATGTGAAAATATCAATTAAACGTGAATAAATGAATATATTGGAATATATATATATATATATAGGGTGTTATAAATTTTACATAGACAATCTGTAATATGTTTTGTATATTAGTAAATATAATGTGTATATATATATATATATATATATATATATATGTATTCAGTTAATATTGAAAAAAAATTAACATTCATTCAATGTAAAGCATATTATGATGGATGTTGGTAATATTGATCTCAACAATGGACTGGAGGAAAGAAATTAATTTGATTGAGTGAAATATCATAAGCAAGTAAACATATTTTAATAAAACTTCTATTCAACAAAAAAGGAAAAGCTATATGTCTGTACATGAACATAAACACATACTTATGTTTGATTAAAGAATGATTTTCATTATTAATTACCTCGTATTATCAAACCTAAAAACAATCAAGTTAGTTTATAATTGAGTTGCCAAAATTACAAAAGCGTTCTCCTTTTATTAAATATATTTAACTCGAATTTTATCAGCAAATTAAAATATACATTAAAAACAAAGATTTTTTTGTTATATATATATATATATATATATATTTACATTTTTAGTGCATTGAAGATAGATAAGCAGGAATATGGAAATCAAAAGTTTATTATTTATTATTTATTTATTTGATATATGTAGTTCTATTTAGGTTGTAGTTAGAGATTTTTATTTTAAGATATTTACTGTGGTATTTGACTGTGAGTATATTTTAATATTACAATCATTAGAATTGTACTTAGAGAAGATATCAATTTGATGTAAATTCATATATTCTTATAAACAACAACTAATGATAAATTATTTGAAATGTTGTTGTGTACTTGTATATTTTTTATACATGTTCTAGCCTTGTATTGTTCAACAATAGTTACTGATTTTTTTAGCTTGATTCTCTTAAAGAGTTAAGCCAATGCACTGGGTACCATTTATTTCAGTTTAAAGCCTTGTGAAGTGTTAAAGATGTATGGTATCATTAATCTATCATTTGGTTTTTGCATGTAACCTAACAAATTTAAAACACCATCAGTTTATATCAAGATTGTAGGTCTGAGTTAAACTCCAACTATAATTTGTGTTTTATTAGTTTTTGATGTTAGAGCTTGATATTAAAGACAAAGAAAATGCTCAAAATAATAATAATAATAATAATGAAAATCGTTATTTTAAGTAATGTCAAAAACCACAATCAACATCTTCAAAGTTATGGTACATAATATTAGTTGATGAATCATTTAATCAAGAAGATTAACAAAGTAAATCTGAAAATTAGGTTTTTGTTTCACATCTTAACACGAATTAACAAATTTGTTATTGTTTGGAAGTAGACACAATTTCATTGTGACAAAAGTTTGATTAAAATGATAATGACAGATATAACACCGAGTTCAGAATTTAAAATGGATACTCTATCATTTTCCTTGTTGATTTGAAATGCATTTATCATATATATTTTTTAGCTACTTCAAAGAAAAGTATGCATCTCTTAACTTCCATCACATTGCTACAAGTTCTTTGTGTATCATAGTAAACATTGCAACATTCTCAATACTGGACCTTAAGAATTCATACTTAGAAGAGAAACATTATGCCCATCAAAACAGCTTTTTGATGTAATTTCAACTTTAAATTTGCATTAATACGTCTTTGTCTAGTTATTTACTTATTTCATTATTTATGTTGAGTTTTTCTGTAGAGTGCTCCTGTATTGACTGGGCATATGCACCTTGTATCTCTAATAAGCCTGAACTAACCCATCTTTGGCAAACTCGGACACATCACAAAAATGAACCATCTGGCTATCTAATCACAAATGACACCACACAGAAACCCATCCAAGCAACAATAAACCAGGACCCATGAAGGCACTATATGGGACAAAGGGGAGGAGCACACAGTGAAAGACACAAAAACCCAGATGGCAAACAAGACACAGAACCAAAGAAGAACTGCAAATCGGACACATTTCAAAACCAATCCTCATAAACTCCACATTTCAGAGCAATTCACACACACACACACAAACACCATAGTCCCTTTAACATGTAAGCTTATCAGTGTGAGTGAGGACATGAAGACACAAGAGCGTGGTCTTCAGGGCACGCGGCTATGGAAGGGGGGGGGGGGTGCATAGAGCTCCTGGGTGCGGATGAGCGTGCCGAATGGGCAAAACCAAACCTGGCGCAGACTAGCGATGCACAAAGGGGAATTGCACGCAATTAGATAGATTGCAAGAGAATGGTGGGGTAATGAAGTTGGGGTGGAGAAGGAGAAACTCATGAAGAAGCAAAGCAAAGCAATAGAAAAGTAAAGCAGATGGAGTAAGGGGATAGATGGAGGGTGGTGGTGGTGGAGGAGGAGTGAGAGTATGTTGTGTTTTTTTTTTTTCTTTTTTTTATATTAGTTGTGGATGAGGGTGGATTGACATGAAGAAGAGGAGGAATAGGATTGCGGCATTTTCCAGACGGAAGTGAAGGTGGTGGGTTGTTTGCGCCACAGAAGGTTGACGACGTTGGAGTCGGTGAAGGAGAGCTCCCAGAACTCGCTATGATTTGAGATGAGCGTCTGGCAGACCTTTTTGGTTTCATCGCTCAGGTTCTGGGGGACGAATCCTGCGCGCGTAATGCGGCGCTGCCACTGCGGGTACGATTCGTTGCGTTCGATGCGAGCGAACCCCTCACACGCCACCATATTGAGCACCATCATGCCGCCCTCATACTCAATGATCTGGCGCTCCTCCGAGTCCCGGCCATTGTAGCCGATGTCCATGGATTCGTAGCAACGCCACCAGAAGCTGATCGCATTCTGGAAGCGCGTCAGGAAGTCGTGGGAGCAGTGATCGCTGTCGTTGTCGCTCATGATGAAGACGTCTGGTTTCAGTGAGAAGAGGAAATCGAAGAAGTCGTCGCGAGGTGAGAGTAGCGGTCGGGATGTTGGGTTCGACTTGGTTGCGCGATCGGGTACCTCCTCCGAGAGCCGATGTATTCGGAATTGGCACACTGCGGCCAAAGTCTGCAATCGTTGATTGTAATTTGGGGTCAGTGCGAAACATTCAACCTTGAAACCCTAAGGCTCTTCATCTTCACAGAAAGGAGAATCTACATAAGAAGCGGATTTAAAGAGGGACTGGTGCTGAGATGATTGTGAGTTCATACGGAGAAGTGCGTGACTCAAAATTTTACCTCGCCATCTCTGATTTTGAGATCTTCTCGAGTAACGCATTCCAGCGCCTTTGTGACCACGTTCACTTCCACATGGAGTCCGACGAGACCAGCAAATTTGACAAGGCGAGTCATGAGATCAGCAGCTTCGGAGTTTACCGACTTTGCGGTGCGCATATTCAGCTCCTCCCTGCGTTGGTCCCTGATCATCGTAATCTTCAAAATAGCTGGTGGTCCGCCGGGACGGCTGACGAGAGCGTCAATGAAGATGGGCCACTCAATACCTTTGCCTGCTCCAATGTCAATGAGATGCAAACGAGCCTTCCCCGCGCATACTTCCATCAGGATTTGGCAGGCGGCTGTGTAGCAAATCTGGTGCCATGGAACGTACTCATGAAATTTCACAAGAGCACGGTGCACAGTTTTCGGGCCGAAACTAATTTCCTGATCATAATGGCGAGGACGAAGAAACGTTGACGCTGCCTCCATCCTACCAGTAATCCTACAAAAGAGCGCTCGTAATCCGTAAGCTGCAAATCTCTGATTCGCGTCCCCCACAACCGAGGCTAGATCGTTCAAAACCCACATCAAATGCTGCGTTCGACTGATGTTCCTGCTGGCTATGGCCGCCGCGCACAAATTCAGAAGCTGCATGGCCCAACGTGGCTCACCTAAATGCCGGATGCCTGAGAATCCGGAGGCTATCAACTGCGTGAAATCATTATCCATTGCAGTAGCTTGCCCATTGTAATCACTCCTTGCAGAGGTATTGTAAGCTTCTCGATGCTCTAGCCTTTGTTGATGATTGTGCTGAAACTGCTCCCTGACACTGCTATCCAGAGGAGAGGATCCTTGTCCACTCTGATCATGGCCGTAAGGTGTTTGTGCACGAGCATCTCGACTGGAGCGGTTGTCCACTGTACTGGTACTCGACACTCCATCAGAGACTGTGTCCTCCATGACAATATTCATATAGTCTAGTCTAGGGTTCATCACAGTTTCGCCGTACCCGACGTTCGGGAGCGGCATCCCACCGAGCTGAAACAAAGCCCGATCACAATCTCGGGATCCCTCGGAATGGTGATGATCATGAAGAAATCCTTGATTGTCTCCGCCCATGGATGTTTGTCCAGTAATAGTAGAGTTGTATGCCCCTTGACCACTACTTGAGCTCCCAACGTCATCCAGCACGGGGCTCTGTGAGAGCATGGTCCAGTTTCCCGTCGAGTTGCCGACGCTTCCGCCCTGTTGTAACTGGCTTGCCATCGGAGTTTGCATGTTTGCGCTAGAATTGAGGCCGTAACCCTCTACCATGTCGATATCACCAGGAGCAACATTGAACTGTGGGGATCGTTGGGCAAGGAAGTTTGATTCCGAAATCGACCAAATGTTGTCATATTGGAGCTCACTCACGGCAGGCCCCTCATATGTTTCCTGAGAAAGAACACCGCCGAACCGTTGCACAGTCTGAAACTGAGATAGTTGGAAATGGCTGCTGGGCATTGTGTAACTAGGTTGCGCAGTCCCGGTGGGCGCTGCATTGTATCCATTGTGGTCAATGTAGGCATGGCCCGATGTTGGCTGGCCCGATGTTGGATGGCCTGATGTTGGCTGAGATACGTTTCCAAACACTAGGGTAATCAGTATCAAGTGCAGAGAAGACTGCAACAAGGACGACAGCATTCAAATCCACACACATCTCGTCACCAAATGAGAAGACTCACTTCACCTGAAAATACTGAACATTGTTCGAGGCGGGAGGGGCTAAGGAAGGGTTTAATGTAGCGTCTGGCATCGGCCATCTTTGTGGAGAAGCCACCTGGGATGTCTGTGGAGAGCCCTGATGTGGAGTGCCCTGAAGTGCCAAAAAAGAAAACCCCAAAAGTAAAGAACAAATATCTGAAGAACATGCTCAGAAATATCAAGAATGGATTTTTTTTTGCAAAACGGTTCTCTGTATCTTGGCTCGACTTCGCTTGTAACTTACAAGGTACACGTATTCTAGCTGTGGATCGCTGTATGGAGAGACCCAATGTCGTGTGGCACCGCCCTGATGCAAGTTATCCCCAACCAAATCCGTGGGGTGCTGGGTCGCTCTATCCCAAGCATTCGAACCAAACATCGTCATTGAATTAGAAGCCAAGTGTCGGTGCTCGTTTCCTCCGGCCCTATGACCCCTGCCAGTGAAGAACGTATTACTATGAAATTCAGATGATCATGATGTGTCAGACTTGAAATATATGCAGAACTTCCTGACAATATTTTTGGAAGAGGGCAGAGATCAGATTCTTACTGAGAGGTTAGAGGAACGGGCGCTTCAGGTTTCATAAGACGAATTAGAGACGTAAACCCCTGAGACACAATCAATGCAAGAGGAAAGTTTGGTTAGATTGCTTCGTTTCGCTAAAAAGTATGTGTAGATAACGAACTGTGATAGCGAACTACATTATGTGCTCTGATTGACAGCAGTAAATGCACTTGAATCGGGCAACGAAAATACCTGCGTTGTTTGAACTGAAAAGTAAGAGTGAGCATCAACTCGGAGTGCGCCTGCCAATTTCAGAGAGAGGTCAATCGAGGGTCAGGTATCCATAACCATACACTAGAATCGGCAGCCAAAGTCCAGTTCAAAACACGACATAGGCGAATTTGGTATGAAGTGAAAACTTGTGTCACCTACATGATTGTTGGCATTCGTGATCAGACGATCTTCATGGGCAATATTACGGGCTCCTATCAACAAAAACCACAAAAAACATCAGAATCCGAGTACCCTGCAATGATTCGAGTGGACTTCCCTAGTGATTCGGACGCAACAGTTGCAAGTTCTTAGGGAATCCCCGCACGGATTAATCGCTCCGACCATGAGAAACAACCAAGTGATAAAATCCTATTTCCACTCATATGAACGCAATGGATATCACCCTGAGTGGACATGATGAAAGCAAGACGACTCGCAATGTCATGCTCTGTAGTCCTTATTCTTGAAAAACGGGAGGAGTACACCTCACAAAATTGATCTGCATAGCGCTATGTTGCCAATTAGGTCAACAGTTGACTACCAAGATTTCATGTCCCTTCGCCCAAATCGGATATTCGTGTGAGCTGTCCGCCAATTGTTGGTACAGAAAACGTTGACATGGTGAAGGCAAAATTCTTCTTCTAATCCCAAACACAGATTCTGCAAGTCCAATCGAATACACTTCAAGGAGTGAATACTAGTCTCACACAGAAATTCACCGGTTTTGTAACGTCGCTTCATATCATCCTCACCATCACAGAGAAATGATTAACCTCTCCTCAGACGGTATTAGATACCGCTCCATTCGCCAACACCCCATTTCTAGAATACATCCCCACTGGTTTATCAACGACCGCACTAGTGCATCAAAACCCACCACAATGGCAGCCGATTCTTAATCTGAACGTCTCCAGGAGGGCTGGACAGATACAATACCTGAAAGTCAGAGAGGTTTCAACCCAACTCGCGTGAGCTACAGAACTAATGAGAAGATTCTACAGAATCTGAAAGTTGATTGTGCCTAAGATCACATCAGTGCGGCGTGAACAGCACAGAGAGCGACCTTACCTGGTCTAAAACCCCATATACATGATCCAATGGTTTCGATGTAGAGAATATCAATCACCACACTCGATTCCTCGCCGAACAATCGCAAGTTTGTTCAAGTTTTGACATTCATAGGAGAGCCCACAGCGCGCACAAATCTGAAAGCTCTGCTGGGTTGAGATGCTGTGTAAGATGCTAGACCAACCGTCGATAGCACGTATTCAGGTGATTGCGTTCTCGAATAGGTGACACCGTCGTATTACAAAGTGCAACCTGAACAGTACAACCTCCAATCGCCGACTAGCCTCGCACTTTCTTCCTCGCAACCGCCGACTATCCTCGCGCCCTCTTTCTTGCATGTCCCCCCCTTTCGGACGCCACGATCAAACGGTTCCAATTACAAGTACCTCCGCTTAGCTTGTCCATCAATGAGGAAAAATACCACAAAATGCGAGGAATGTTTCAATGCTATGGGGTTAGAGAAGAGAAAACCGTCATGTATCTAGTGACGCCACGCTACCACGGATCAGAAACTCCCAGGCAGCCAGAGCAGGCTTGGGGCTAATCACCCTCTAGATCTCGCTCCCTCTCGCTGTCTGATGCACAAAGAATGCCCCAGAAAAGGACGCCGCGGTGCCTGGCAGAGAACAGCCTCTTGTCCAGGTACCCTTCTGTGAGATGTTCAGACAGAATCCTTGGGACCCTCTCGGAAATGCCACTCATCGAAACGACAGGTTGACCATCCTGGCCCCTCGACGGTAAGCCTAGGCCCATCTAGATAGATTCTCGGTCGACATAACAGCTGCTGTGGATCACCAGATTGATCTAGAACAGCCGGGGGTGTGTTCCTCGATGCAGGATTTGGGGTGTGGTAACTCGGATCTGGCAATTTCCAACGTCGACGGGTCCATTTGGTGAAGGCGTTGGAGCTAAAGTGGGAACAAGCGGAGCCAGCACCATGCACAAGTTCATAGTCCGCCTCAATTCACCCTTCCAAGTTTCCGAAGAATCCTGCAACCGACCGGGACATCGCATCCCTCCGCCTGGCGGTATAGCATCATCGGACGGCCTCCTTGCCCGGCATGATCTGCTCGCCAGGCTTAAGGAAAAATTACCTGAAAGCAGCAAGGTTAACTCTGTGCTCGGGTCGTGGGTGCACTATTTTTGGTGTGGAACCATTCCCATCGCTCCGTGTTTTGACATCTCACCTTTTTTCCTGTACTATTGTTCCTGAAGGGCGCGCGGCAACACCCCGCCAATGACCTCTCCTACCATTCCTTCCCAACCAGCACTTTCGATATAGCCATGGCCCACTCCAAACTTTCTCCGAAACCTCATCCGCGGAAAATCTACACTCCAAAAAGAAAGGAAGAGAAACAGAAGAAAAAAAAAACTTACCGCATTCTTAGACTTGCTGAACACAATTCCCTGCAGCAAGGAGGGCCGTTGAAACAAACTTCCACTTCCGATCCCCCCGAGGAGAGCTGTTGTTGTTGACAGTCACAGTTCATCGATCCATGATTGCAATCACATGATGGGGGAGGTGGGGGTTCCTTTTTGTGTGCAATGAGTGGGTGTTTCGGAGGAGGGGATGTTGCGGAAATTGCAGCGTCTATCTATCAATCTATCTATCTATCCACTGTCGACGGCACAGGAAAAACCGTCCCATAATTATCTACAGACAGCAAAGACATCGCAACACTGTCGGAGATCTCTTCCCCGTTCCTGCTGCAATAGATCCTACCCCACCCTTTCTATTTTCCGTACATCCACTCAGTTCCGGATGGCAAAAATCAAAGATGGAATCCAGTTGAGGGGAGGGGCAACTTCCGAACCCCTGATGGAATGCCATCACATTAAACAACTGATACTCTCCCAGGATCACAGAAACCCACGGCACTGAGAATATCTACAGAGGGAATGATAGCACGGTGTAGGGGAAGAGGCTGGGGAGATGCTTATTTATTCATTTATTGTTTGCTCACATGATCTCACTGCAGCTCCACACCTGGTTCTATGTGTGTGTGTGTCTGGCTTTCTCTCTCCCATATCCTCCTCCTCCGTCGCAATGCGTTTTCATGAGCTTGGATGAAAGTGGACTGAAGCTGTGCTAGTACTCCATGATGCTAGTAAACTGGTAGGGTTTTCTAGAGGATAAGTTACCCCGAGCAGGAGGAGGTGTTGTTGTGTTGAGTGCAGGATTGATTGACTTTAGCATGTGCTAATGTGCTCTTCGTAGCCATGAAAAGTCCCCCTGGACCCCACCCCCACCTCACCCTTCGGCCTCCACCACCGCTCCGACCAGCCCCTGCCTGCCCTGGCTCTCTCTATCTCTCGCTGCCTACACCATAGCCTCCCTCCCTCCCTGCACACTTACTGACATACTCACTTACTTACTTGCATCTATCTACCATCTATCTATCTGTCGATCTCCATACATGTCGGTCATTCAATGTGCGGCACCGGGCGTGTGTGTCTGTGAGTGTGAGTCCAGATCTGGCTTAGCATATCACGAGAGAGATATTCTGCCGGATTTACCGATCTTCTTTCCTATTTCTGGTCGGTGCCGTTTATATAACTGTAATCCAGATCTTTCGTTTCAGTGTGTGTGTGTATATATATATATATATATATATGTATTGTTGTATTAATTCTCTTTTAATTGACCATACTAGTCTTCCACGCATTGTTATTGCAAAAGTGGTGCGTGTGTCTGTTTGTGTGTGTGTGTGGGTATGTCCCAATTATTTGATTGATTGTTTCTTTGTTTTTGTTTTGTTCAGTTTATTTTTTATTTTTTATTGAGGCGTGAGGAGTGAGACTTTTTTTTCATTGTTGGAAGAGTTTGAAGGAGGGGATTCCTGCTTGAAGTTTGGAAATTGATGTTAGGTGGAATTTCTTTCAGTAGCAAGAGTTTGGACTTGCATTTTGATTTGTTGTTTGTTACAATAGAAAATGTGTTATTTCCAGTCCAAAGTTGGCCGGAATTTTAGATTAGTTAACAGTTGATCAAGTTATCTATGTTTTCCAAGTTGTTACTTGTAAATGGATAATCAATTGGGGGTTGTGTACTGGGATTGCATCAATAACTATCATGTTTTAAGATATACAATCAATGTATGGACTAATATATTCACAAATTTCCACATTGACTTTATAAGCTAACATAGTTATGCAATTATTGTAAGCCAATGTGGAACTCACAAATGATCATCACTCACCAAAAACATTTAAATAATATAGCAACTCACAAGAATCTGTTTTAGTGAAAAGACTTATAAATAAATTCCTTAAGTCATTGCATCATGTTGCAATTTATACACATGATGCAATGAATGAAGATAAAAAGGATTTTATATATATAAATATATACATACACATATACATCTATATATAAATTTAAAATCAACAATTAATAATAAATCTTCCAACATACAGTTTAATATGAGTATTCATGTTTTAATCAATACATGTTTTTTTTTATTTTCATCCCTCCATATTTTTAATTCTTAATATTAAAAACTAACTATGATAAATAAATTCTACAAGCCTAATCTACAAATAGAAATAATGCATTTCTAAAATAGTTTAATTTATATTTATACATAAAAAACTATCAAAATAAATTAAACTTAAGATTTTATCAAGACAATTGAACATGTAAAACCAATCAATACGTACCTTTTTTATGTTATATTTTACTTGCATACATATGATCATTTAATTCTCATTCATTCAACAAATAATAACATTACATGCATACTGTTAACGAATTTTTGTTTTGAACAATCACATTTTATCTGCAATTTTTTTTAACACAATCATTTCAATTTATTCAATTTAGACTGATTAATTGAAATCATTAATATTTTGTAATTGATTAATTTGCAATACATATGTAAGTTTTAATACCAACATAATTCTTTTTCATATTGTAGGTCACATGCAGAAGCCATACCTCAATGTATACATTATAATGCTTATAATTTATGAATATTAGATATTTATAATGATATATTTTCCTGTATCAATAAAATTTTATATATATATATATATATATATATATATATATAATAAATTGAAATGTGATTGTTAAAATTTAAAAAATTATCATTTAAATTTAAAATTGATGTATGGAATCTATTTCACAAACATGCTGTATTTTTTATTCATTATGTACTATAACTTTTATTATAACATATATATCTCTCTCCCTCTATATAAATAAATATATATGTATATATATATATATATATATATACATATCGTTGTTGTATCAATATTACTTGGGTAATTTCGAATTCAATTATATATTAAGTATATATACTTTTCTAAAGTTAAAATCTATAATCATCAAATAAAATTTTAAAATCAATTAAAAAATAAATAATATAATTTAAATAATATCAAAACAATATAACTTAAGATTCAAATGATATACTTTAAATAATGTTATAATAGTATAACTTAAAATTCAAAGATAATAGTATATACAAAATTATATTTTTTTATTTAGTATATTTGACAAAATGGATATGCTATAGATTTAAATCTTATATATATATATATATATATATATATATATACATATATATATATTCACACATACACACACACACACACATACATACATACATACATACATACATACATAATTATAAATTATATATATATATATATATATTTAAAATTTTAATTAATCAATCCTTTATGTTTAAGTGTTAATAATCAGTTATTAGTATTATATTTAATAGTTAATTATAAATAATTAGTATACTTTAGTATTGGCAATGAAACTTCTTGTCCAATGCAGTGAATAAAAAAACCCATATTAAATTAGATACATGATAAGCCAATATTTTAGTATATATTTGAAAAGAAGTACATAGAAAATTACATTCCAAGACAGGTGTGGCTTTTTGAAATATATATTCATGACTATTTTTATTTAATAAATTTCAACTATATATTGCATTTGAAGAATGATGTAATTTGTGGATTTTTGATGTTTTTGTTATTTTTTATTTAGATTACTTCTTATTCTTATTATTCTATTACGTCAAAACCTAATTGGAATCTATTTAAATTTTTTTTTAACACATACTTATAATAAATACATACATGTATATATACTTTCAAATTTTCTTACAAATTTGTACAATATAATGTATATATTTCCATGACTTGAAATTAAAAAGTCTTGGCCAATGCTATCAGCAACATATCATCCATTTTATTCACATCAAGTGTGAGCAAAATAAAAGTCCAACCTGTGATTTTCCTTTGATTGTTTTTAATTTAATAATTTTTTTTGATTTTGACTTTTAGTACCAAAAGATTTTCTTAGATATACATATTTGAAAGACTAACTATCAAAGACACAATTGATCACTTTGACCATAAAAAATTAAATTTATGCAAATAAGGCCAAGATATTTTTATAAAAAAAAGATGATATATTGGACCATAATGCAACAACCATATGGATTTTGCTAAAATCAAACAAGATAATAAAATAAAAAAAATAATTCTTATAATGACACAAATAAAAAAACAAGATAAGTTTCAAGTGACATATTAACAAGACTTTTAAGCTAAGCAACTTAAAAAAACTTATAAACATAACTTGGTAACTAAGTTATTCAAAAATGCTTTCTTAGAAGAATCTTAATAATTTAATTAATTTATTTATTTTGAAGATTTACATTAGAAGTTTTAAGAAACTATTAAAATAATTTAAGAAAATTACAAAAAATTTAGAAGGTTTTGGAAGAACCTAAAGCTTCATGTCTATGATACTAAGAATGCGTGGTACATGAGAATTGAAGTAAATTGTTTTTGGATGAAATGGTATTGAATTGTAAATAAATATACATCCAAAGGTCACTATTGGAAGAAAAAAAAAAGAAAAAGAAAAAAGGGATTGTTTTGAAAATTTTACTTTGCATTGTCATTTCTATTATCTTATTTTCAAATTTGTTTCTCTTGTTTTATAATTCATATTTTAATTTTTAATTATCTTACTCTACTCTCTGTTCTTTGATTGATTATATTTCAGTAGTTTTGTATTATGAGCATGTTTTGCCAATTCCTTTTCTTTTTCTAAATTTAAGTATCTTCTTTCTCTTATTTTCTTTTCTTTTATACATTCATGCCCATATATTCTTCATGATCATACACTTTTATGTTTCAAAATCATGTAATTGCATACATGATTTTAATAAATTTATGTAAAATAAAATAATTATAAAATAAGGATACATACATACATACATACATACATACATACACACACATATGTGAGTGCATTTGTGTATTTAAATATGTTTGCATTTATGTCAAATTCATCATACTTAGATTCACAACAATTTAATTGACAAATAAAATATCATTTTTGTTAAATTGATTAAAACATACCCACTTTCTAAAAATGATCTCAAATTTTACAAAATCCAGAATACATTACAACTTATAATTATTTAAAAAATAATAATTACTTGTAATATGTTCTGAAATTTAATACCCTCCCCTAGACTTGAAAGATTTATATATATATATATATATATATATATATGTTGGAGAATGTTAAATAGACCCAAGTTTTTATTAAACTGACCCACCAACATGAAAAAATTAATGACATCTAGATTCATTTCTCCACTATTGGATCTGCAACTAATAAAAACTAACCAAATTCATGATTACCATATTGATGATTACCATATTCTTTATCAAGGATGAATCTATTTAGTAAAAGCATGGGTCTATTTAACATTCCCTTATATATTTAAATATATTAAAACAAAATGTGCATTGTAATTTTTACTTAATCTACTGTGTACAAATTTCTCGTGCACATGCGCAAAAGAAACGTTTAATTGCAAAACTTATAAATTTCACCTTTTGATGTACTCTCTGTGGGGATAGTCATTCTTCCAGTTTATATGTGCCTTCGGTTCATACGGGCTTCTATGACGCTCATAGGTCCCTATGTTTATAGGTGTTTATATGACGCTCATAGGTCCCTATGTTTATAGGTGTTTATATGACGCTGATAGGTCCCTATGTTTATAGGCGTTTATATGACGCTCATAGGTCCCTATTTTTATAGGTGTTTATATGACGCTCATAGGTCCCTATGTTTATAGGTGTTTATATGACGCTCGTAGGTCCCACTACTTATATGTGCCCTAATGCTGCAAGGTATGGTCGGGACTCGGCTACTTGAGACCAACACAGGACAGAATCTCTCCGTGTTCTGTTTTAGGGCTTCATGAGACCTCGAGAATTGTCATACTTGAGGCTCGAAGTGCAGGAGGGTTTTACGAATTTTATGCCAATGCTACGTGGTTGATGTTGTGCTTCCGGTATTGCGTTATCTGTTGTTGAAGTGGTTGCTGTAGTGGAGTGGTGTGACGAGCCCTCGCGGCGCTGGCGAGAAATTGTATAGTATTTGCAATCAGGCATTGGAGCGATGGCGTCGCCAAACCCGACCAAGCAGGCGGTGTCTAATCGGTTGTCGGGGTTGAGGTTCATGCAGAGGGCAAAAATTAGAGAGGACGAGCTGAAGCGGCAAGAGGCGGAAGCGGCTGGCTCGGCCGCAGTAGATGACAGCCACTGGGTTACGCCTGCAGCTTCTGCCTCGCGATGTAAGGTGATTTTTGAAGGCGATCCGAAGCCTGGGGCAATTATTGGCAGAATGTCGTTTCAGAGTTTCAATCCGAGTGTTGACAGAATTGTTGAGGAGGTGGAGGCGAGACGAGAGAAACTGAGGTAAAATCACAATCTTATCGTGAAACTGATGCCCGGGTTTATTGCTGGCCGTCTTGGTGTTTTTGTTTACATGTTGATTTTTTCAGGAATGCGATGGTCCTTGCTTAGGGCTTTAATTCAGTTCAAGCAACATATTATCAAAACTCGGTCGTCAGCTAGTAAAGGGTTTCGTCTCGTTTTGGTTGGAACGCTCTTCTGGTATTGTTTCAGTGGTTTCTTATACCTTATAGACTTATTCTGTTCCTCCCTCGCAAGTATAGCATTTCTCACGGGCCGTATTCAATTACACCGGTCATGTATGATTCTTCGATTCATATACAATCGAATAGAATTCTCTTTCGTTATTTGTTCATTTGAAACGTGGGATTTATCTTCTCAGAAGGATGTTCTAGCACGGTGTGACAGTTTTTCTTGCTTTTTGTTACTAGTGGTTTGAGTTACATTTCATTTCTTTTCCTTCCAATTTTGTGGTGCTGATTGTACGTGGTTAAATTTCTAAACAGGATCTTCGCAAGTACGTCTACCGGCAATGACGAGAAACCAACTGTCAACACACAAAGTCTGGCTAATGGCGCCGAAAAGGAAAAAGTAGAAGTAGATGACGTTGATAATGTGTCCATCAGGAAGAGGCAGAAGGTGGAGAAGAAGACTATTTCAAAGACAGAAACTGCGAGTGTCGCAGTAAACTCCTTCACAGCATTAAGAGGTGGCAAAGTCGAGTCTCACAAACGTGAACAACATCAACAGCGTGAAACGAAAGAGGTTAATCCGAGGACGGATTGGAGGAGCTTACGGCCACCCGGTCGGTAAGCTCATTAAAATATGCTCTCATTTCTTTTACTCTGAAGTTGTATCCACGAAGCTTTCACGGCCGGGACACAACTCTTCTTGCATCTCGACTTCACCTGTCGACAAATCATCGTGGATAAGGTAATTTGAGCTTCCAGGTATACATTCAATGTGATATATCTGTGTTGGTCACGATTCTAGGCCGATTTCATGAGGGTTTCAGTGCATGAAGATTGCTAACCTTAGTCGTCTTCCACGATGTCCTCTGATTTTCTTCCCGTCATTTCTATTCTTGTATTCCTCCACCTTCTCCTTTTTTGTTCGCCAAATTTAGGCTGTAGGTCTCGAATACTTGCGAGTGCTGGCCACCAATGTGCTTGGTTTTCTCCAACTATTCAAATTCACAATGGGGTGCCGGTGCACTGAGGTAGGAATACATAGAAGGTGCTTTACCATTCTGCAGTCAATTGCTGATGGTGTGTTGTATCAACCAGATACATGACAAAGTTCATGACAGAATTAGCTGCTATCAGCTCTTTTTAGTGTCTGTTGGCAATTACAAATTGCTTTAAAAACTTTCCTCCGAGGTTTTTGATTATCAATTTCAAGTCTTTACTTTTTTCTGAGATTTTCTTACAATACTGAAATGCATCCTTCACCCCAGAAAATTCACGTAGCCGCTGACTCATCGATTTCTTAGTTAAAGTGCACGAGGATTGTAGTAGTGGTCATGAGTTGGGCTTAGTAGGACTACGATTATTCTGTGCAAGACTGTTCGACAACGGAGTATTTTTTGTGCCTTCATATTTGTGGTTTCAGTCACTTTGGATGTTCTAGTGAGAAACTTTTTGAGTCTACTCCATGTCGGTCTCGTTCTTGTTTACCAGGTATTGAGACATTTTGTAAAAAGAAATAGAAAAACTAGACTTGCCTTCTTGTTGAAGATAAGCCTTCTCGTCTGCTATGTACACGCTGGGGCTTGATGCTCAGGGAGCTGCTTGTTTCCTGTCATGCCAATTCAAACGTTGAAGGAGCTAACTTCTTTGTGTTGCAGTGGACGTGGGAAATAGCCTTGCACTTTGCATGAGGTTTTGGTATTTCCAAACCTTTTTAGGGTTGACGCAGGCGTCTGAGGGAAGATATTAAGTTGAAAGGTCGGTCACTCTCGTGAATTCTTTCATTCTGGAAGGTTTTAACGCCACCCAGCATAATCATCAGTGGCTTTTCATTGGGACTGGGAAGAATACTAACTGTTACTTGGAACTTCTAGAGTCAAGTGACATGTTTTTACCCTTCAACCATACTTCTGAAAACTTTGAGGAATGCTGTTATTTACAAAAGCATGCAGTCTCGACTTTCTACGTGGGAGATATCTCCTCTGCCCTTCACCAGTGTTCGGAATCTCCTGCTTTCTGCTTGAAAGCACACTATTTCAGCCCTTGATCATCAACTTTCACTGTAATTTAAAGAATTCTCTTGCCAGACTTATAATTTGCAAGGGAAATGTCCTTGGGGTATCTGTGAAATTTAGAGAACACGTTATGAAAAAGCAAATTATAAGGTATAAGATTGTTGCATCAAATCAACAAGATTTTGAGCAAAGAGCATAAACTCAAATATATTTAAGTTAATAAAAAAGTATGTCCAATTATAATAGAAACCTTATAGTTGGACAAATCTACACTACCACCATCAAATACATGTTTCATATTATCATAAAACCCTACACTTCGTTTTAATCTTCTTATTTTTATTATAAATTCAAATCATGAATTTTTAGCCCAAATATATTTGAGCATTAAAGCCTTAGCATATTTTATGGATGGACTTTAAATTGCAACAAAAATTGATACTATCAAAGAAGATTTGACTTACTTCAAAAGAAGTAATTGATAGACAATTCTTTGTATTTGGAGATATTATAGAAGAAACCATGTCTTCAAAAGTAGCATTAAGAAATTAAGCATCCAAAACTATCTTAAACATCATTCAATGTTCTTTAAATGTAATAGTACTTGCCCTTCTTTGGTTTGAATTATGTCATCTTAACATTGATTAAAAATTATAAAAGAATATCTACTCTAAATTTTGACAAACCATCTCAATAATTAATTGGTTGAAGTTAAAGCATTTATGCAAGCTTTAAAAAGAAGATGATTTATTTATCATTTATGAAGTACCAAACCTTTATTTAAATAAAAGTTGCAATAGAATTTTTGAGTAATATTAAGAATATTAAGATGTCTTTGAGAAGAAGAATTTTGATATTTTGTCATAGCACCAATCTTATGATTCTGTGATTAATCTTCAAAAAAGAATTCAACCACCATTTGGCACAAACTTAAAAATTGACTATTAAGAAATGATATCCCTTATCCTCAATATCAAGATTTTTTAATCAATTACATGAAGTTTAGATCTATGATAATATAGATCTAAAAAAAGCTTATAATTTGATATATATTAAAAAAGAAAATGATTAAAAGAATATATTTCAACTAAATAAGGCTATTTTGAATATAATGTCACTGTCTTTAAAGTTACAAATGCCAAAGACTACAATGCAAAAAACAAAACAAGTAGGAATGGAGTAGATGGATGGCCACTTCACCTTGAATGCAATACATTCTAAAAAAAGATATTAGAGATTTGAAAGTTCTACTCCAAAATATGAAGAAACATACTTAAGATTAGAATTAAAAGAAAAAAAATCAAAGTACTTAAGACTTGTAAAATAATCTTAAGGAGGTTGCAATGGAATTCAAGTGTCATAGGGAGAGCTTAAATAACCATAAGAAGGGATTAATTAGGTGTGAGAACTATTGCCTTCAAGATGACTAACTTACAAAGCACATTTGGCGATGTGAGAGGAATATCAATTGCCTAAAGCAATGATACTTGTTTTGGAATAATAAGACTATGAAGGAGAGATCTAGGGAGATATTGGTCTTTTTGTGGTCTTTATGAGCTTTGTAACTTGGTGAAAGAATAATAATGAAAGACTAGGATTTTTTATAATTTGACTCTTAAGTTCCAAAGATAAAGAAATTAATGTTAATTATCTTGGTTGTCTAAGTAATAAGATATGAGAAGTGATATTAATAGTGATATTAGAATTTTTTAGAATTTGATAAAAAATATTTATTTTAAATATCTAGATTTATTTATTTATTTTAATAATATATAAATAATATTATTATTTATTCCAAAATATAAAAGATATAAAATATGTATTTTTTTATACTAAAAAAACTTAAAAATATAAAACTATATGCTAAGACAATAAAATTTATATTTCATATAATATAACTAGAAGTTTAGAAAAATAATATTTTAAATCACAATTTGCACATAGATTCTAAGAAAGTACAAAACTTGATAGATTGGAAAATTGTAAGAATAGACTAATGTTTTTTGAGTTTTACAAACTATTATCTTATATTCATCAAAAGCTTCTATCCATATGTTACTTTGCTTACATGAGTTATAGCTTTGCTTACATTTTATTAATAATCCTATTGATATTGCATAAAAAAATAATATTATATTCTTGATTGCTTGTATAAGAGCTTCAGGTTCCATAAAAGTTAATTAGATATTTTATTGATTTATGTATTTAAATCTTAATATCATTTTTTACAAATTTTAATTAATATTTAGAATATGTAGCATTAGAGTAGATGCAACTAATAAAACCTTGTAATTATGATTCTAAAGAAGTTTCTTTGAAGTAAGAACAAGCTCTACATTAATATATTTAATGCACAAATTATAATAGTTAGTTTTTTTAATGCATAATAATCTAATTTACATCCAAAAAATAATTGATGATTGAAGGAAGTTTATTCTAATAGAACAAGAATAGATAAAAACCATTTATAAAAATAATCATAGATAGATATAGAACTAGAATAATAATTTGAGGTAAGTTGCTTCAATTAATGTATTTGCATAAGGTTTTTGCTTCAATAAATCCACACGTAAATAAGTGACACTTTTGTGATGGTCAATCAAGCCTGTTTTTGCTTGTTCTAGATATGTTAATTGTAGAGTTTTTATAGCCGAAATTAAATTTTCATGCTTGCATATTTCTCTTGTGGCATTTTTAAAGAATCAAAAAGTATTGGAGAATGTATGTTGCTAGCACTATTGAATGGCAGGGACTTGAGGTTGTTAGAGTCAATCAATGTGGTTATCTATGAGCCGCTCTATTGGCAAGTGAAGAGCACAAGTCAATAGTAGCAAGATTGAATTTTAAAATTTAGTATCTATTGATTTTACTCTCTACAAATATATCTATTTTACTACTCATTGTTTACGTTGGTTATTCTTTAGATCAGGTATTAAGTCTTATGCTTTATGAATCATTCTACGAAGAGGAAAATTTTTCTAGTATATGAAGAAAAGAACAATTTATAGGTTTTCAAAAATATTAAGACTTTGTATTCCAAATTGATCAAAAAACTAAAGGAAGTTTAGATGGCTGAAAGCTTTTGTAAGAAGATCAACCATTTGGTTGTTAGTTATTAAATATGCTAAGTTTGTTATACTTGTGAAGACATTTTTTTTATGAAGTATGGCCAAACATCTATATATTTTGAGTAGACATGACTTATTCAATTCTTTGTTGATTTTATGGAGCTTTAGTTGTCATAGTAGATTGTGATGGATTCAACATCTTTTCATGTGATTTGATGTAGTAGTGTGTAAAGCCAAATTACTTCTTTAATTCCTTTGTTAATTGCCTTAGTCTCAGCACCAATTGAGGATGTATCTATAGTGGCTTATTTTTTAGAGAACCAAGTGATGGATCTTCTTGCAAATTTTAAGATGTAGACTCAGATAGATTTTTGATCATTGGTATCATTAGCTCAATTTGCATTAGTGAAATCAACAATAATAGAATCTTTTCTTCAAAGATATGTAATACTATGGTTTCTTCTTCTCTTTAGATGTCTCAAAATGTGCTTCATTGCTTTCTAATGGAATACACTGGGATCATGCATGTATTGATTTATAGATTCTACTACAAATAATATATTTATTATAAAATTTAGAAGATAAATGAGTTTTAGTTTGATAGATTAGCTGTTGGATTTGACTTTGGTCTTGTAGATCCATTTAGTAATTACAAAATTAACTCCATGAGGCAAATCACAAATCTTCTAAGTCTTATTTTTGGTTATTTATTCATGTTCTTCATCTATTGCAGAGTGCCAATTAGGATGATTATTGGCCTTATTAGAAAAATTATTCTATATAGTATAGTAGTTATATATATAGAATACTATCTATTCTTGTTGATCTTATACCAAAAGTTGTGACTCTTGGTGTCACTCTTGTACATACAATATATTGTATAAGATTGACTATATTATTAATAATAATATTTTCAATATGGTATTAGAGCTATAGAAATACTAGATCCCTATAAAATCATAAGAATAGATGAATGTTTCAATCTAGAAAAGCATTGGTGAAATTACAAATGAAATTATAATGATAATAATAAAATAATCTATTATAATAGAAAAGCTTGATGAAGAGCTTGAAGTTTTTCAAACCATGAGAAGAAATTCTAAATCTAAAAATGGTAAAAAATAAATCATATATAAAAGTTAAAATGAATTGATTAAGAATAAATTTATAAATAATTTTAATTCAACTTCAAATTAAGAATATTAAAGATGATACAAAAAAAGACGTCAATCATGATCCAAAATTTGATGGATCATATTTTAATATATGAAAACATAAATTAACACTAGTTTTCAAGGCTGAAAAGTTATGATTTATAGTAAGTGGTGAAGAATGCTTATCATGGGAACCAATGGTAGCTGAAATTACTACCAAAATCTTAGCTTTATCAGCCATAAGAGTAGGGAGTATAAGCACATGGATAGATAAGGATATCTTGTCTTTAACCATAATCAACAATTGCTT